AAAAAAATCGTCATTTCATGTGTTCCGACGAGATACTAAGGGTCTAAAGTCGTCTTAAATAATGGAAGAATATTTTCTATATTTCATCTAAAATTGCTATCAATGAATCGCAATGTTATAATTCCCGCCATTATCAGTCGTCTGAGACACTGTAAAACAAAATGGCGATGATACCGGTGAATCAAGTAAGACCAAGATTATTTCGCGACAGAACACATCCATTGGATATTTACGATGATCATTAGATGATCGAGGTATCGTCGTTGTATGAGGGAATGGACGTGAATTTTAATTCTATTAATAGATAAAGAGTAAATTGTAAAAATACGGAGGAGTGAATGATTTTAGGCAATGAAGGGGATTGATGGAACGATTATTGGAAAACAGCTAACATAAACTAAGTTCCTAGAAGATATAATTATCCCATCGAACGAAGTTCAGAGGGATATAGGGAACGCCTCCGTCCGTACGTACGTACGTCCGTCCGTCCGGGCAATAACTCAAATACCGTTGGCCCGATTTTGTTCATATTTTGTACACATATACCCTATGGGGGTATAAGTTCTGCTCGAAAGCCAATTTTCAAAATGGCCGCTCATTTCAAAATGGCGGCCATTTTAGTGCCAAATTTACAGTAATTTAGGTGCAATATGTAAAACTATAATAGCAATATGCTTTAGATGTAAAAAAATTATATAGGACATTAATAAAGCTAGAAATAAAGATATTAAAGAAGCACATGGCAGCCATCTTGAAAAATGGCGGCCTTTACTCGTTATTTTACGATTTTTGCTGTAACTCGAAAAGTAGTAGAGCGATTTTGTTCATATTTGGTATGTGAATACTATAAACATTACACACTGTCTAAAGACACTTTTGGTAGAAGGTGGCCATTTTAAAAAATGGCCGCCATTTTAACCTATTTTACTATAACTCGAAAAGTAGTGGAGCGATTTTGTTCATATTTGGTATGTGAGAACTATAAGGATGGCACACTGTCTAATGACACTTTTGGTAGAAGGCGGCCATTTTTCAAAGTGGCCGCTATTTTAACGTATTTTACTATATCTCGAAAGGTAGTGGAGTGATTTTGTTCATATTGGTGTGAATACTAAAAGCATGACACACTATCCAAGACACTTTTAGTAGAAGGTGGCCATTTTGAGAAAAATCCTGAAAAATGGCCGCCATTTTAATGTATTTTATAATAATTCGAAAAGTAGTGAAGCGATTTTGTTCATATTTGGTATGTGAATACCGTAAGCATGGCACACTGTCTAATGACACTTTTGGTAAAAGGCGGCCATTTTTCAAAATGGCCGCCATTTTAACGTATTTTACTATAACTCGAAAAGTAGTGGAGCGATTTTGTTCATATTTGGTATGTGAATACTATAAGTATGGCAAATGGTCTAATGACACTTTTGGAAGAAGGCGGCCATTTTGAAAAATGCCTGCCATTTTTGCTATATACTTTGTTTGTAAAAATGCCATCCATGGCTGTTCGATGGGATTTGCTACGCTTTGGCGTTGCCGTTGTTCTGGTTTTGAGAGGGTTGAGCGGGTCCCCTCCCACACCCATCAAAATAGAATTTCGAAATATACCTTGGGATAGAATCGGATAAACTACTCAAATAAATGGATGTTGGGTTCATAAAATCATTTAAACACAACAATTTTATTTTATTTAATCTTAGTTTTTATTATTAACTCCACGGACAGTCGTAAATAAATTAATAAATAGCATTGGTTTCAACTAAACCATCCTATGTTTGCTTTACTTGTTACAGTAAAGCTACTAACACATTGCTATCCTAATGCGATTGCTATTGCTACGCGATTGCGATATCACGTCATTGTGAATACCGCGCCAAAATTGCGATGTCGCAATCACCTAGCAATAGCAATCACATTCAAATTGCGATGCTTTGTGAATAATGTAAGTTGTTATTAGCATTTTAAATTACTATCAAAGCATTCACAATGTATTCATGAGTCACACCACTTATGAATTTATAATGTAGTTAAATGAGTATTAAGTATTTAAAGTTTAAATATTCCCAAAAAAGTGTTTGACTCTTTGGAAGTTAAGATTTGAAGCTTTGAAAGAGTCAAACGTTATTTCGTCAATGTTTCATACATTTAATATGTTTCTCATATTCAATGTTTCACATATCTCACCATTCATCAGAAATCTTCATAATATCTACTATAACTATATACATTAGTTGACATATAGGTTAAATTCACTTATTCAACATTTCACAGTTTCACATTTCCAGGTAGAGAAGGACTATTATTCACATATACAACATTTCACATTTTTAGGCTGAGGCAGACAATTATTCACAAATATAACATTTCACATTTTTACATGCAGGGGCAGACATGTTAACATTATTACCATGCAAAGGCAGACATTTATTCACATATTCATCATTTCACATTTTCACATTCCCAGTCTGAGGCAGATAATTATTCACATATTCATCATTTCACATTTTCACATTTCCTTGCAGACTGGAGGGACAGACAATTATTCATATATTCAACATTTCACATTTCCCTGCAGACTGGAGAGGCAGACAATTATTCACATATTCACATATGTTTTTACATTTCCATGCAAAAGCAGATAATTATTCACATATTTAACATTTCACATTTTTACATTTCCATGTAGAGGCAGACAATTTTTCACCTATTCAATATTTCACATATTTACATTTTCAGGTAGACTGCAGAGGCAGACAAATATTCACATCTTCAGACAATTATTCGCATATTCAACATTTCACATTTCCATGCAGACTGCAGAGGCAGACAATTATTCACATATTCAACATTTCATATTTTCACATTTCCATGCAGCCTGCAGAGGCATACAATTATTCGCATATTCAACTTTTCACATTTCCATGCAGACTGCAGAGGCAGACAATTATTCACATATTTAATATTTCACATTTTCACATTTCCATGCAGCCTGCAGAGGCAGACAATTATTCACATATTCAACATTCTACATTTTCACATTTCCATGCAGCCTGCAGAGGCAGACAATTATTCGCATATTCAACATTTCACATTTCCATGCAGACTGCAGAGGCAGACAATTATTCACATATTCAACATTTCATATTTTCACATTTCCATGCAGCCTGCAGAGGCATACAATTATTCGCATATTCAACTTTTCACATTTCCATGCAGACTGCAGAGGCAGACAATTATTCACATATTTAATATTTCACATTTTCACATTTCCATGCAGCCTGCAGAGGCAGACAATTATTCACATATTCAACATTCTACATTTTCACATTTCCATGCAGCCTGCAGAGGCAGACAATTATTTGCATATTCAACATTTCACATTTCCATGCAGACTGCAGAGGCAGACAATTATTCACATATTCAACATTTCATATTTTCACATTTCCATGCAGCCTGCAGAGGCATACAATTATTCGCATATTCAACTTTTCACATTTCCATGCAGACTGCAGAGGCAGACAATTATTCACATATTTAATATTTCACATTTTCACATTTCCATGCAGCCTGCAGAGGTGGACAATTATTCACATATTCAACATTCTACATTTTCACATTTCCATGCAGCCTGCAGAGGCAGACAATTATTCACATATTCAACATTTCATATTTTCACATTTCCATGCAGCCTGCAGAGGCGGACAATTATTCACATATTCAACATTCTACATTTTCACATTTCCATGCAGCCTGCAGAGGCAGACAATTATTCACATATTCAACATTTCATATTTTCACATTTCCATGCAGCCTGCAGAGGCATACAATTATTCGCATATTCAACTTTTCACATTTCCATGCAGACTGCAGAGGCAGACAATTATTCACATATTTAATATTTCACATTTTCACATTTCCATGCAGCCTGCAGAGGCGGACAATTATTCACATATTCAACATTCTACATTTTCACATTTCCATGCAGCCTGCAGAGGCAGACAATTATTCACATATTCAACATTTCATATTCACGCCCGGTGATCGTAGAATTGGGACGGAGGGGGGGAGCAGGCAATTTCTGCTAGAAATTTCAACAAATCTGGAAGATTTATTTTTTAAAGAAGAAGTTTACTATTGAATTGCTAAGTAAATAGGCTCACGGTATTGTAAAATATGTTAGGTATTCTAGGATTTTTTTTCAACCGATACTCTTATAGGGTATAAGATCTATTAAAAAAGGCGCAACGCACCAACGTGCAAAAGTCAATGTTGTTGCTATAAATGAGGCAACAATGGTGTACATGACCTGTAATAAATACTTGTAAGTGACATTATCGTCACAAAATTAATGTTATTGCTGACTTTGTAAAATAAGTTTCCATAGGTGAAATAAAAAATAATCAAAAATAATTTTGGGACGGAGGGGGGGAGCAATATGTATTAAGACATGATACATATTGCTCCCCCCCCTCCGTCCCATAATTTTTTTCGATTATTTTTTATTTTACGTATTGAAACCTATTTTATAAATTCAGCAATGGCATTAATTTAGTTATGATATCGTCACTTACAAGTATTTAATTCAGGTCGTGTAGACCATTGTTGCTTGATTTATAGCTAAAACGTTGATTTGTGTCTGTTGGTTGCCTCGCGCCTTTTTTAATAGATCTCATATCTTAGATGCCTATCGTTTCAGAAAAAATCCCAGAAGACCTAACATATTTTACCATACCGTGCGCCTATCAATTCAGCAATTTAATAGTTAACTTTTTCTTGAAAAAATAAATCTCTCAGATTTGTTGAATTTTCTCGCAGAAATTGCCTGCTCCCCCCTCCGTCCCATTTTCACGATCACCGGGCGTGATATTTTCACATTTCCATGCAGCCTGCAGAGGCATACAATTATTCGCATATTCAACTTTTCACATTTCCATGCAGACTGCAGAGGCAGACAATTATTCACATATTTAACATTTCACATTTTCACATTTTCACATTTCCAGGCTGAGGCAGAGACTCGTAAACATGAGCTAGCTGAACTGATTGAAGAGCATCACCAACTTGTCAGTGAAGTCCGCAAACTCAGCCTTACTCCCACACAGGAAGATAATGAAGCACAAGAAAATGGCGAAATTGATGACACAATTCCTGTTTTCTCATCTTGATAATGGAATGTGATGAGAAACTGATTCCCATTTAGGGAAAAACAGTAATTGAGTATTATTAGGAAATCGCGGATTTACCCAATGATATTCTATGCTACTAGCAGATGAGTTTAGGATAGAATTTGAATGAATTAAATCAAGATCCAACTTTCAATTTTGGTGTCAATGTTTAATGTTAGTTTTGATAAGAGGAGAATGTCAGCTATTAGTTTGATGTCAACATTGTGATGACATCTGTATTTTTCTATAGTTGAAAACAACATCCTCTCGACAAAACAATTTACTTATTGTGCCTTCATACAAAATAGTCAAATTATAGAAATTCACTTTTTTAAAAAACAAACAGCATTTAAATGTTGATATTTTGCTGTACTTGAACTGTACTTTCATTTCATCACTAAGCGCATTCCAAAGGTTAATATGTAGATTCAGTGCTCATAAAATGTAAAATGTACAAAATGTTGAATATTTTTGTACAATGCATTGTTGTAAATAGTTCATACATAATTGACAGTATTGCCATATATGGACTTAAGTAAACAAACATAATTTTGTGAAAGCTATTGGGACCATTTGAAGCACTGTAGTAATGTTACATGTATTAGAGAAGGGTTTTGTTTGAAAACATTTAGTGGATGAAGTATGATTCAAAATTGGCTGCATTTGAAATAAATTCAGAATGATGAAGCTGATATGCGTGTATAAAGTGTGCACCATATTTTTAGCTCTAAATTCCTACTTGGTGGAAAATATATGGTTTAGACCGGGATGTATTAATTTTCATTTTAAGATGGCGCCAACACTATTCATAACAATGCTTCAAGCAGGACATGTCTAATTCACTCATATGGTCCACAGACCCAATGTGAATTAAGTAATTTGTCTGTGAATAAAACAAGGTATTCCATTTGGCTTGCAACAAACTGTAACATCAGACATGAAGAGGCATGTCTCACTAAACATAAGTTAAAGAATGATAATTCTGTAAGCGTATTCCAAGATTGATAAAATAGAAATGCTGCCCTTGTTACGCTTCACGGGGTTCTCGTTGGTATGTGGTCCTTTTTTCTTGTCTAGGGGTATGATAATGTAACTAAAATAGCTTGATGTAAATTCTTTTATTAATCACAATAAGCCTACTCTAAAAAGCATATAATTCAAAACCTTGAATCTCCTAACTGCAACCCAAGATTAGTAGATGTTAGCTAGAGATGTTGCCTCTTGAGTTACAGCTAGTAGACTGAAGAAACTGTTTAAAACACATAAGCAATAGGCATAACACTACCCTCCGTCCATTCAAAAACTTTGTGTCCGCACAAAGGAAATGTTAAAGTACACATGTATGTAAAACATAATGAAAAGATATTCTAATGATACGATAATAATAACTATGAAATAAACGGAGCAAATAGTAGTGTCCAAAATCATAATTAGTGTTTCCATTGGTTTAATCAAATTGATATCCAGGCATAAATGTTGTTAAAAACCAAATTCAAAATGTTCGCAACAAATATAATTCACTTATTCCAAAAACATAAACAAAAATGTTTCATATATAGATGTCAGTGTTATAACCAAAGTCCATATCCTTTCTATATCCTAACATGTTCCATCAATCAACATTCACCTAGAGTCAAACTACTAATTCATCTCATCATTTTCCATAATCTACAGTACAAACAACTGAATGTAGAACTGATTTCCCTATGAATAAAAACATATCACCTTCAAGAACAAAAATACATCTCGAAATAACATTGCTTCAAAGCTTGATAAATTGTTTAGAAACTCAAAGAGAAATCATAATTCTTATGATAAACAATTGATAAACGATATACCCCATTATTATCTAAAAATAGATAGGCCCGCCACTGATCAGTTATTGATCAAAAATTGTTAAAAAGTTCCTCAATCAAAGTCTGACCAAAGGAAGCATGATCAAATTCAAATCTAAAAAGATACACGTCAAAAGCACAATGGTCACATTGACCAATAAAAAAAAACTCCTAAAGTAAAAAATTAACTCAATTATGCCATCCGTGTTATATCTACTTTCACAATGCGGCATTTACCCTCGCATATGAAAATCCTCAACATTACTCATCTTTAAACCCAATTATCAATGGACTGGCATACATAAAACGCCCCTCGGACTCTTGTATTGGCGTGTATGTCCAAGAAATAAACTCATGACTCATGTCCACTTCAGTGAAACTTCACAGAGGGAAATACAAAACTACATCTCACATAAATCTCAATCCAAACCCAACACATTAAGTCTTAAGAAACATATTGATCTTGGCATATATTTTGCGGAAAATAATCACTTAACCTGACATACAATTGTCAGTTACTACTCTCATCACCTCACACAACCTCCAATATCAAGCAATCAGTGAATAACAAAAACCTGAACAAGATTGGTGAAGTAGCCAGTGAAAAAATGAGTTCTGTTTAGCTCTACCATAAACCATTTACTATTCCCACCCCAGTCTCCAATTTTCTCATTTAATAAACAGCAATATTACTTTGAAGTAACTAGTATCAACACAATGATTGAAATGACGAAACATATCATCAAAGTATGATCACAGGAAGCGTCACCAAATTCATATCCCAAAGCACACACGTCAAATGCACAATGATCATATTGACCATTTACTTCCAAAAATATACTCAAATATGTCATTCACGTAATATATCCTCTCATGATGCGGCATTATTCCTCGCACCATGAAACAACCTCAACAACTCAATACTTCTTAACATAATTATCATAAATGAACTGTGAACTGACATATATCAAAAACGTCCCTTGGCCTGGACTCTTGTATTGAGTGTATACCTGAGAGATAAACCCATTAACGCCCCTACAATCAAACTTCAAAGAGGAAAGTTCAGAAAATACATAATTAACATGAATCTCAAGTTCAACCCACAACATTCCTTCGCCTCAACTACCCCATGATGAATGGCTCTGGCCAATAATAAGTATCTTTAGCAGACAAAATATCAGTATTTGTACACCTAACAGTTGTCAGTACCCTCATATGTATCTACCTTTCACCTTACACAACTCAAAAAAAAACATTAGCAAAGGAATCAGTGAAATGCCAATACTTTACATCTTCGGCATCTATTTTTAACACTTGGTCTACCAACGTTATCCAGCCATCTTAAAATATACAAAGCGGAGTATGACGTCAATACCGGTCAAAAAAGGAAAAGATACCTGAATTTGAATAATGAGCACTATGCAACTTACTTTCTCCATGCGCCTAGCTCAATAACTGAATCATCATAATTTATAGCAATGCCAAAATTACTCCAAAACACTTAACTCGAATAGGGCAAAAACAATATAATACACATGTGAAAATACAACATGCATATGCTTTCCCTTTTTAACACTGTATTCTCCATAAGGTCAAGTTACAAGACCATGCCACAGAAATACCAATGAATGCACAGATAAGAAAAGTATCTCTTTAACCTTGAAGCTTTACCACACCTGGATTATGAATCATTATATCAATATATAAAGTTCCCTCATAACAGATACTCAATTGACCGATTTCAAAATACACAAACCCTTACTGATTTAAAAGTTCTGACTTCTTTTTGAAGAATGTATGTTTAGCATCTTATATGTTATCATTAATGATACTTTATTATGCCTAGATAATCAAAATTGATATCACATTGTACTAGGTAATTTCCGAATGTTTTCCCTCTTAGTCAGCACCAACATATTAAGCAAAGTACTGGATTACGATCTTTGTCCCTTTGTTCCTCACTAGTCTGTTTTACCACTATTCGGACGGTGCCAATGTCCACTACATAGTATGTCTTTTCGCAGACAGGACTGATTGGTAACAATTGCCATGATCAGTTGTCAGATTCCGGATCCGTTCAGTTGATCATGCTGATGAGTTCCGAAGTTCCACAAACGACCATTACCTCCTTTCTGATAGAATTGAACCAAAATGTTCACACTGTAGTAATCCTATATATCCAACGATGTGTCAATCAGGGAAGTCCATACTTCTGTTTTTATTAGTGTCTCAGTGGAGGTAGCAAAACGACATTGCAAAATCACCCATCCGTTTATCGTCATTTACATGACATGATAAATTGAGTCAATAAAAGATATATATATAATCTAATCAACATTAGCCCCTCTGATTAGGGTCGATCGGGTTGTGTTAAAGTTATAGCTGTCCAAAAGTTGCTTTTGTTAAATATGCAGGTTTCGGTTATGGATTAAATATGTCAATTTTCAAATATGGTCCATTACTGCTTCTCCTAGTTTTAAAATTTTAACATGTCAATGTTAATATAAAAGTTCATTAGGTTGTAGACTTTCATCTCGTACTTGAAAATGTTCTGTCGATCACCCTTAGGCACAAGTTGACTATCCTCTTGTAAATTGTTGAAAATCACGGCCCGTGTTCTCTATCATCTCGCACCCTCTGAAGATTTTTTATGTCTCTAGAGAGCTACCGTGATTCCCGGCTTGTAGGCCCCCAATGTTACGCTTCACGGGGTTCTCGTTGGTATGTGGTCCTTTTTCTTGTCTAGGGGTATGATAATGTAACTAAAATAGCTTGATGTAAATTCTTTTATTAATCACAATAAGCCTACTCTAAAAAGCATATAATTCAAAACCTTGAATCTCCTAACTGCAACCCAAGATTAGTAGATGTTAGCTAGAGATGTTGCCTCTTGAGTTACAGCTAGTAGACTGAAGAAACTGTTTAAAACACATAAGCAATAGGCATAACACCCTTACTACATTAAGTATATAAAGGATCTAGTGCACTCTCCATTATGATTTCCCCATGAGCAAAATGAATCATTTTTAGGTGTAACATGAAGAATACGATGTCAATACAATTAATCAATAACACATTTGGATAAGATGTTGGGATGCGTAGGATGTAAATGGATTTTGACAGACACAAAAAGACTTCCTGGTTTGGCATCTCTACCCCTGTACA